AGAGATTCTGAAATTCAGGCATCATTTCATTTAGTGCTCACTGAAAAACCAGGAAAATACAAGTCTATAGTCGGGTTCAAGCAAGGCACCGGCACTCACTGAGCTGTGTCGGCGCCAGGGTTATGGAAGCTGTGAACAATCAGAGAGACTAGCTATGCAGACCTGTGCGCAAGGAACCCTGTACTACCTATACAATTGTGGGGGGAAATCTAGAATTATTCAAAAAAAATTATATTTAAAAATGTAATGAACAGCTCTGGCCAATTATGTTCAGTGGTAAAAGATCAGCCCAAGGGCTGGTTTGTGGTTCCAATCCCTCAACAACCATTGGGTAGGTTCAAAGTGGGTCCCACTTCTCAACAACTATTGGATGAGGTTGGAACTTGGTCCTGCCCCTCAAACACCATTGGTTAAGGTTCAAAATGGGTTCCACCTCTCAACAACCATTGGGTGAGGTTGGAAGTGGGACCGTCCCCTCAACTACCATTGGGTGAGGTTGGAAGTAGGACCCGCCCCTCAACAATCATTGGGTGAGTTTGGAAGTGGGTCCTGCCCTTCAATAACCATTGGGTGAGGTTGGAAACTGATCATGCCCTTCAACAACCATGGGTGAAGTTGGAAGTGTGAGATACAAAAGTATTTTCCTTTTGTACATAGGGAGACTCCCTCTGTCAGTGCCAAGCTCGCTGACCCAGATGCCTGTTCCCCAGCCATGTCCTCACCTATGAACTCTGTCTCTGGCCTGTTTTCCAGTATAAACTGGCACCATTGGGGCAGGAGGGCCTTCCTAGCCACTTTTAACAGGAGGGCCCCTTTCTGACCTGGTCGTGTAGGTCTGTGTTCCATGCTACAGCACCAAACCACGGTGAGGTCTCCTGAACACATTGAATTGTTCATGACTAGCATTGTCTATACGCTGCTCCTTTTCATGGAAAGACTCTGCTCTTTCTGTTCAGAAACATTATAGTCATGCAAAGCCTCTCTGTGAGACCGCCTCCTGAATTCTCCCGTGGCTAAGAATTTCCTGCTTGGTGCTTGCTTTTATATGTTCGTTTATTGCTTCTATGTGTCTGCAGAGGGCTATATCCGGGCCAACACTCCACATACAATGTGGGCCCCGCTGAGAACAGGGAATGTGTCCTCTTCACCTTTGACTCCCCAGGCCCCGAGCCCTGTGGCAGGTCAGAGTATCAGCTCAATGAATTGTGAGCATACATGGAGTTCACATAATGCACATTAGCTAAGCTATACCCTGGGTCTGCTCTCCAGGCTCAACACTATGTGCTCCAATGGAATAATAAAGAATAATAAAGAATAAAGAATATTACAAAGGAGGAATATGGCAAATGCCATGGAGCTAGTAGGACAGATATCTGTAATCCTACCTAATAGTTATGAAGACCTTCTTCTGGACCAGATGTTGTGCAAGGTGCTGTAAACATAGTATCTCACTTAATACTTGTCAAAACCCCTTAGAGAACATTATTACCGTGCACATTTTACAGATGAATGAACCAGGCATTTTCCCCAAGGCCACATGCTGGCAATGGTGGAGCCAGATCTGAATCCAGACCCTGGGAAACAAAACCCACACATGAAAGCTGCCCTATGAGAAGAGGGCAAGCTTGGTTATCAGGATCAAAGGCCAAGACACAGATAGCAATTAGGACAACATTAAAGCAAGAGCGACGATGGGGGCCTGAGAACACCCATACCTACGCTCCTCGCCCTTGGTCGTTTGGAAACAGGCGGAGCATGTTCATGGTATGTTAAGTACATGTTTTTAAATAGAAACCATCCTTCATTAACTGTGTGCTATGTCAGTAGTTAGATAGAATCGTTTGACAACTGGAAAATAAATAAATAGCTCATTGTGATAAACATAGGCCTGGGCAAGGAAAACAAAGTGAATCAGCACCGGTGCCAAAGGAATGCCTCACAGAGCAAGGGAAATGCAAACCAAAGCGAATACTTGACGGTCCTTTTTCCAGTAAGCACCTTTCCTTTTTTTTTTTTTTTTTTTTTTTTTTTACTAAATTCTAAAGTGTCTCTCCCCTTGTTATTATAAGTGTGCCACAGATGCCCTGCCCTCTGGCAGATGAGTAGGGGAATGTCAGTGGGAGGGGAGGATGACTAGAGGAAAGAGGGAAAGGAAAGAGAGAGAGAATTCCACCCATTGCCAGGAGCTGTTGCTATCCATTGGAGGGTATTCAGTGCCTATGTATTAAAGTCCCCCTGGGGGCCAGAAAGAGCCCAGTGCTGGGGATAATGGCAGGAGCACCACAGTCCCTCCTCCTAAGAGCTCACGGGCCTGTGGTGGATATTGACAAGGAACTCCAACCCGCCAACTCAATCTGAAAGGACAGATGCAGCGGGAGCAGCCGGGAGTGAAGGAGGCGGCCCTGAGGAAAAGAAATCTACATGAAATCTGTCCCGGCAGCATTGGGGGAAACCATCTTAGCAGAGGGAACAGCTATTCACAGGAAAGAGCACGGGGTCAGCCCACATGGCTCAGTGGCTGAGCGTTGGCCTCGGGAGGCCTAGGAACCAGGAGGTCACAGTTCAACTCCCAGATTGTTAGAATTATAACCAGCTGGCTTCCAGAGTTTGCTTTTGATGAATCTATTCTGCTTTTGTTGATACTGTGTTTTTGTTTCATTTTCTTTTTTTTCTTTTTCTTTTTTTCCAGTGCAAAAGCAGGCAGGAGGGGGTAAGAAATAACAAACGAATGAAACAATTAGCAAACATTATGTTGTGATGAAAAGAGAAGTTAGGCTTATCACCAACCTTCAGCTGACTGGCCTATTCCTTCCTTCTTTGTGGTAATTGCCAAAAGACTACAAAGAGCAGGTGCATTCTCCTTCGTTTATGTTTAGCTCCTCTTTCCAGAGTCTCAGAGTCAAGGTGCTCCCTGCCTTCTACTTCAAAGCGGGGAGGGATGTCAGGGCACACACTGTCCCTGGTGATTGCTCAGGCAGTAAGCCTTTTATCCCGCAGGCAGGGGGGTGGGGGGGGGGTGGGAAGGAGATGTGGAAAGTTGCATGTTGATGTTTGGGCCTTCTGGCGCTGTGTTTGGAAGCCCTGGAAATGGCGTGTGTTGATTATCCTCAAGAATGCTGAGAACAGCCTGTTCTTCTGTCGCCAGGAGCCGAGTGAGATAGGGCAGGTAGGTCAGGACACAGCCTCCCAAGCAGATGCTTTGTAAATGTTTGTACAGATTGCATCTGTCTGTGGACAGAGGGGTTTTTAAAGTTATCTCACAATAAACTGAGCTGGTTTCAACGAGTTCCTCTCGGACACCAGCAATGAGCTCTCAGACCCTCCCTCCCGAGACCCGGGAAGTCCAGGTCATAGCCAGATCCTTAATGGACTTCTCGGTCCGTGAAGCCTTCTGCTCAATTCTCTTGACTTCAGGGCCAAAATAAGCTGTTCATTATTTACAGAAAATATAGAGAAAGAGATAATTTTTTTTTTTTTTAAGATCAGCACAACTTGTGCTCAGTTCCAAGGATGGCAACTTACATTCTCAAAAGTGAGCCCCCTCTGGAGGAGAGAAGATAAAATTCTCTGCTTAACCCTCTGAGCACAGCGCCTAGCCACCTGCCCATGGTCAGCCCCTGAGGGCTGTTCCCGTTTTATTGTTGCTGCTGGAGCCTGTTGGCCTGGCACCGTGAAAGGGGCCCAGGATGCCAAGTTGTATGGAGCACAAGCCGCTGCACAAGGCGCTCACTGTGTGAAGAGGAAGAGAGTCAGCACAGGTTTGCACTGTGCCAGGCTGAGACCCAGAGCAGACACCAGCTCCTGAGGGCACAGGGCGGAAGCCGGCTCTCTCTGGGAAAGAGGGCGCATGCACCGCAAAGCCGCTGCAGCCAGTCTTCTTGAAAGGGCGACCAGACGCCTAAGCACTCTTTAAGGCTGAACTTGGCAAGCTTTTATAAACTGTCCGTCTAGAATCTCATCTGTATGAAAGTTCCCTTCCAGCATCCAGTGGCCACTCCGAGCACACTCATTCGTGAACTCTTCACCCAAAAACGCAATCATTCATCACTGCTGGACCCTGTCCTCGCGCAAAAGCTAACACAACTTCTTTAGCAAAGATGGCGCTGGGCTGCAGAACACTCTGACGTCCTACTAGGATTGGTGATGCTCCCTTTCACGGACAGGAAGGCTGGCCAGGGCTCAGACTTCTATGCGTTTCACACAGAGCTCCTTCAACCCAGCGCAGAGGCCTGGGAGGAGCCTGCTCTCAGAGGTGCAATTTCTTTTTATTTATTTAATTAATTGATTAATTAATTTTAATTTTTATTGATTATGATGTCACATAATTGTCCTCATCCCCCCATTCCCATCCCAAACCCCTCTCCACATATGCCCCATCCCCCTGTTGTCCATGGCCACTGGCCAGGCCCATATGCATGCACACAAGTCCTTTGGTTGATCTCTTCCCCTTACCCCCACCCTCCCCTGCCTTCCTTCTGAGGGTTGAAAGTCTGATCGCTGCTTCTCTTTCTCTGGGTCTGTTTTTGTTCATCAGGCGAACGCACCTGGCAGGGACAGGTCTGGGGGACCAGGACCATCCCGGGGCCTTCAGGAACCCAGGCTCCCGGTGTCCCAGCAGGACACTGTGGTTCCCGGCCACCGGCTGCCCTCAGCGCCAGGAGCGCACCGGGTACCTCCCCCATCCCCAGCTTCCTTGCTGGAGCCTCCCTGCCTGAACACACACCGGGGGACCGTGCTCCCGGTCGCAGTGGGGTGTTGGGGGCGCTGGAGCCGGGGGCGCGGGGCCCTGCGCGCAGAGGCACCGGCTGAGGCACCCAGTCCCTCCGCGCTCCCGCCCCCGGTTCCTTGTGCGTGGGGTTCTGGGCGGGGAGGGGCGGGGCGCGCGCTGGAGCCCCGCCCCCGCCCGCGGAGATTGGCAGACCTCGGGCGCCGGCCCCAGCCAATGAGCGCGTCCCGGGGCGGGCCCTGGCAGCCGGGCTCCGGCTACTTAGCGCCGCCGCCTCCGCGGGGCCAGAGGCAGCCGGGACCGAGCCGGTGAGCGGGCGCCCAGCCCGGCCGACCCGCAGGCGGAGGGGCTCCGAGCCGGCGCCCCACGCACGGCCCGTCCCGCGCGGGGCACCGCGGAGCCGCCCGGGAGCCCCCGCCGCCGCCGCCTCCGCAGCGCCCATGGGGACCCGGAGACTTTGAAGGAGTTTGGGTTCCGGGAGCAGGGAAATCACGGGTACGGAAAGGCGCGTTCTCCTTCGCCTGGGAGACGCTTTCTCTTCGATGGTTTGGACCCCGCGCCCGGTAGGAGGGAGAGGGAGGGGGGCTGTCCGGGGGCTCCCCACGCGATCCACACGCACACGCGTGCACCGCACCGGCTCCCCCTGCCTTCCCTTCCTCCCTCTTTGTTCGGTGGTTTTAGACCGAGCAGCCTCGCCCCGCGCGGCCGGACCCCCGGATCCCCCGGATCCCCCGGGTCCCCCGGGTCCCCGTGCCGGGGAGCAGCCGGGAGCAGCCGGGGGAGCGGGGGGCGGAGCGCCGTGCCAGAGGTGCCGGCGCCCGGGTGCAGGTGGGCGGGGAGGCGGGCGAGCACGCGTGGGCCTGGGACTGTGCGAGCGCGGGGGTCCGAGTGCGCCCTCGCGGAGGTTTGCCTTTGTGTGCGAAGGTGGCACCACCGCGCCGGGGTGCCAGCCTGTGTCTGGGCTACGAGGGTGCCCAGGGGAGGTGGCTGGTGCGGAGGAGGCGCCCGGGACTGTGTCCCATTGTCATTGTGCGGGGCGCCGGCGGGGAAGGCGTGAGACCCGGTGCGAACGGAGAGGTGGGCTGGAGAGGGCGGGGACCAGCGTGTGAGCCAGCTCCGGGGCCTCGGGCGCCCTTTCTCCAGGCCGATGGGTCCCTCCACCCTTTCCTGGGGGTCGGTCTCCAGCGCTGCCACCACCACCCGCCCACGCTGTCCTCCCCACTGGGACCCCGCACGCCCTGCAGCCCGTGCGAGTTGCACCCAGTCGGTGCCCGGAAGGAGTCCCAGGCTGCCCGCCGCCGGTGACTTGGGTGCCAGGCCTGCCCCCTGGGGAGACACCAGAGATCGGCGGGGACTGGAGAGAGGTCCCCTGGGCGGGCGGGCAGGTCCCAGGGGCACCGATCGTCCCCCTGGGAGGGCGCAGCCAGCCTCTGACCGCGCCTCTGCTCCTCTGGCCCCGCAGGTCCCCGCTCCCGGCCCCCGCCTCGCGTGCGTCCTTGATGGGCAACCAACTGGACCGCATCACCCACCTCAGCTACAGCGAACTGCCCACGGGGGACCCCTCGGGCATCGAGAAGGACGAGCTGCGGGTCGGGGTGGCCTACTTCTTCTCGGATGAGGAGGAGGACCTGGACGAGCAGCGCGGCCAGCCGGACAGGTTCGGAGTGAAAGCGGCGCCGCTGGCGGGGTGCGCGCCCTGCCCCGAGAGCCCCGGCCGCCACCTCCACCTCCACCCGCACCCCCACCACCTGCTGCACCAGCTGGTCCTCAACGAGACCCAGTTCTCCGCCTTCCGGGGCCAGGAATGCATCTTCTCCAAAGTGAGCGGCGGCCCGCAGGGCGCCGACCTGAGCGTGTGCGCCGCCAGCGCGCTGCCCGCGCTCTGCGAGCCGGGCGACCTGCTGGAGCTGCTGTGGCTGCAGCCGGCGGCCCGCGAGCCGCCCGCGCCCCCGCACTGGGCCGTGTACGTGGGCGGCGGCCAGGTCATCCACCTGCTCCGCGGCGAGATCCGCCAGGACAGCCTGGGCGCGGCGGGCGCGGCCAACGTGGGCCGCGTGGTCTCTAGCTGGTACCGCTTCCGGCCGCTGGGCGCCGAGCTGGTGGTGCAGAACGCCTGCGGCCACCTGGGCCTCCGCAGCGAGGAGATCTGCTGGACCACCTCCGAGAGCTTCGCCGCCTGGTGCCGCTTCGGCAAGCGCGAGTTCAAGGCGGGGGGCGAGGCGCCGGCGGGGGCGCCCCCGCCGCAGCAGCAGTACCACCTGCAGGTGCACCTGGGCGGCGGCAAGGTGCACAGCGCGCGCTTCCCGCGCCTGGAGGACCTCATCCGCGAGCGGCGCCGCATCGACGCCAGCGGCCGCCTGCGGGTGCTGCAGGAGCTGGCCGGCCTGGTGGACGAGGACGACAAGGAGTAGCCGCCGCCCGCGCCCCCGCGCCAGCCTCCCCTCCCGCACTGGGCTCCCCGCCGAGGATTCGCCACCTCCGTCCTCTGCACCTGCCGCCGCCCCGGGGGCCGGGGCCCAGGCTGCCTCCCCTGCGCACCCCTCTGGCCAGCGGCGTGAAGTCGCAGGAACCGGCCAGGGACTGGGATGGGACTGGGCTGCGAGGACAGCTGCGCGCGGCTGGGACCCCCCTCCTCCCCGGGGGCGGTAGTCCTGCTGGGAAGCCCCTGGGTTTCCCCGGAGTTAGAAGGGCGGGAGGGAGAGTGGGCTGAGCGGAGCAGGGACTCGATCGCCCCCAAGAGTCTCTGCTCAGAATCGATCTCCCCGCCTAGAGAGAGGCACCATCACCGCCCCCCAAACGCAGACTCACGGAAAGACCTATGGGAAGCGAGGATGGGTCTTTTCCAGGGGCAGATCACTCCGGTGTGGATGAGTCCCCAGATTGCAGGATTTCCAAGAAATCGAGCCTGTCCCTCAAGCACTTGTGGATCATTCCACCGGGGACTCCAGGTCACTCCGAGGCCGCCTGGGTAGGAATGGCCAGCTCTCCAGCCCCAGGCTGCTGATTTGGGATTCCGGGCTGAGCTAGGCGGTATTTGTTTCCTATGGTTTCCTCCCAGGGAAGCGAACGCCACGCCCTCCCCTCCCCGCATCCCCTGCGAGACCCCAGCCTGACAGCAGGGACCTGGTCCTTCTCATGGAGGGAACTGGCCCAGCTAATTTGGGGGGGAGTGGGCGCAGGCCCCGCCCCAGGCAGATTGCTCCCTCCTTGGGCTGCGTTTTAAACATCATCCTGTTTTTAAAGGGATTGGGGGAGGGGGAGAGAGGGACGTGGCAGCGTTCCAGAAAACCAGCATCATGACAATGCCATAGCCAGTCTGTTTCCTTTGGCTTTTCCTAAACCTAGAGATCTCAGCAGGTGGGGAAGTGAAAGCAAAGTTTTCAAAAGGAGGGGGCAGCGCTCCAAGATGTCAACCAAGCATACCGTGTTGATGTTTTTATTGACCATTTTAGCAACAGGCTAATAAAATTTCAAATTGAAATTTTTATTTTCATGGCTTTACTCCATGATCGTTTCAGTACTGGGGGCCATTGCAAGTGGACTTAGCTGCGAGCATAGCTAGCGAGCATTGCCCTTTCACTCTATTTTTCTCAAATCCTTTGAGAAGTCTGTTTTTGAATATTGTTTCTTTAAACAGCAGCCCTTAGTCCTGGGGGAGTTGCGAACTCATGTGAATGTTGTGCTGGATTTCTGCCAGCGGAGGGGTTCCAGCAGGTTCCTTTTCTAGGTGGTGTGAACCATTCCACGTTGCCATTTCTGTTCTTCCTCTCTCCCTTCATTTCCTTTTAACAAATGAATCTAGAGTTAGTGGCTTTCCCCCTTCTCTGTTGTGGGTCCTGCAAGGTACTCCTGAAACACCGGGAAAGATTTGTAGGGTCTGGACAAACGTGTTTTTCAAAACATTAAGGCTGTGTGAGACCCCTTCCCACCTTCGCTCCCTGCTCCTCAGCCCAGCCCAGCCCAGCCGATGGACTATCGCTTACTGATTCAGTGCGTGTCCAGCAGCCACAGCGTCTGCCTCCCTGTCCGGGGAATCTGTCAAATGATGGTGTTTAGCTAATCATCGCGAGCAGTTGCCTATTGACTGCTGTGATTGAGTCGGACAGCAAATATTGTGGCCAAAGCCAGTTTCTCGGCATTTCCAAACGAATGCAATAAACACCAGCGGAGGTCAGCTGAGACTGGAACTGCCTCTCCCGTGGTCCGTGATTGGTTTCTGTTCTGGGTTTGGATTTTCATCCTGGGGTCATTCCCTGATCTTGAACCCGAAGGTCAGGCCCATGGACTATGAACTAGAGTATTTTTCTTACAGCTATCGAGTGATTTATTTTTTAAGAAAATGTTTTAAATGCATACGCTTTCCTTTCTGCACATACAAGTGGCCAAACTTTTGTACTAGCGCACTCCCCTTTGCATGTACTCAAGAGTCCTCGAGTCCCCTCCCTCTGCCTCTTCCCAATAACAGACGGCCGATCACCACCGTGACCCGTGACTGTGTGTGCACACGCCACGTTCTTATGTGCCCTCCTCCTGTACTTGGCTCTCTGCTGCATTAAACACCGTCCTCAGCAATGGCTCCGACAGGATTTCTTGGCATTTTGTCCTCCAGTTGTCACTCAGAGGGTGGGTGGGACTTCAGATTTACTTCCTCTGATGGCACATAACCTGATTTGTCTCTTTAAAATGTTTTTTATTGATTTCAGAGAGGAAGGGAGATGGAGAGAGAGAGAGATAGAAACACCCATGATGAGAGAGAATCATTGATGGGCTGACTCCTGCATGCCCCCTACTGGGGATTGAACCTGCAATCAGGGCATGTGCCTTTGACCAGAATTGAACCTTGGATTCAGAAGGCAGGCTGATGCTCTATCCACTGAGCCAGACTATCAAGGGCTGATTTGTCTCTTAAGAGGATCCCTCAACAGAGGAATGGCTTATCAGCTCTATACTTGCTGAAACTATACTGGCAAAAAACAAAAAAGGGGGGGGGGGGTGGCAGCCAACGTAGCATTCAGGACTTCATTGCCTGTTAAGAGTTGAGTTGATGACACTAATAGTAACACTGGTTGCACAGGGAGCATGAAAAGTCTATAAGGTTTCTCAGAGTCCTGTTGAAATAATCATTAATTATCTGTGGGCCAGTGTTAATAGCAGCTGGTGTCAGAATGATTCTAATCACAGTGCACCGTGGATAAGATATCAGAATACCATCCAATAGCTTTCTCCTGAAAAAAGTGTATATTGTGAGGGTGGAAATGATGGCAGTGAAACCAAGAAGCCAGACATTCCCTCTGAAGGTGGCAGGGGCCCCCTGAGCTCTCATGAGGAGTGGCTATAATGCCTCTGGGTTGTATCAGGTGAGAGAAATGGAGCCTGAAGCCCCCGGCATGGAGTAGAAGCCAGGCATTCAGTGTGGGTTTCAGCGAGCACCAAGCCACAGAACTTCCTGGGAGCTTGGTGACGCGCCAAGTGAGGCTGAGATGGGGGCTCAGGAAAAGACTAAAACTATCCTTGTACCTCTGCCCTCTCTCCCCTTTCAGAGCATGCTTCTGACAAAGTAAGTTACTAAATAAATATTTTTCTTCAAGAACTGCATTGCCACACATTTTGTTATTTATTTTTTAAATATGCTGGGGGGGGGGGGGGCGGGTAGAGGAGGGCAGCTGAGCATACTCTAAATTCTCTAAATGAACCAGCCTGAAATGCTGTTTTTCCCCAAGTATATTTCTTTGTTTTTTTTTAAAAAAAAATCCTATAGAAGTTACATGAATTGCATTTATTTTTCAAAGAAATTAAAAGTATATCAATGAGCCAAATGATATATATATATATATATATATATATATATATATATATCATGTATATATAGTTCCTCAGTATTTAAAATTGAAGTACCTGTCATGACTGTTTTATTACAAAAGAGAGATACAGATTCCCTTATGGTTAGAAAGCAGTTGTGCCAGATCAGAACATCAAACACGGAAGCAGCCAGAAGTTCAAAGATATTAGTTGATGGGATTCGATTTTTTAAAATGTTGATGTTTATCATCCTCTTTGTTTCATTTCTAAAATGAACACTTTTGTTTGAAGAATGACTTTTTTCCAGAAAAGCATGCTATTGGGGTTTGCAGACTAATGCATTACCTGAATACTTGGTCTGCCCTAAGGGTCCTCAAAGCTTACCTTCCCGATTACGTCCTGTGTGTGTGTGCAGCATTCCCTGAGCCTTGAGTGTCAGGCCTCTTATGAATGGACGGGGTCTAGTTTCACTGCAACTAACACGAATTGCACAAACAAAGCAGAGCGACCTAATTTCCCTTTACCCATGTGGATATCTTCGAAGCTTTTGCTTTCTCTTTTTTAAACAGATGAAGAAAATTGGGTTAGGTTTGCCTTTCGTAAATGTTTTGCCACACACACAAAGGGTTGCAGGTGAAAAGTACAGGCTTTCTGGTTTCCAGGAACATCAAGAACTGTATTTAGGAAATGTCTAAAGCCCAGCTCAATGTCATTGACAATTGTTAACTATCAGCAATTCTATATAATAAAAGGCTAATATGCAAATGATCTCCCCCCCTGGCCAGCCTGGCCCAATTGGTCCTGATCTGGGCAAGTCAGCCAGACCCGAATTTGTGCACTGGGCCTTTAGTGTGTGCTCTCATGTGTGTGTGTGTGTGTGTAGTGTGTATATATATATATATATATATATATATATATATATATATGCATTTATGTGTGTATATATATATAAAATTTCTAACTACAGCTCAGAATTGTGATGTCATGCAGAGATACATATATCTTAATATGTACATACATGCATACAGACTATTTCAAAACAAAATAGAAAAACAAGAGGAAAGGTTTTAGGGGTCAAAGTGCTAAGGAGGACCTGGGGCACAAGGAGGCTCTGCCTAAAACTAAGCATGAGCAAAAAGAAGAAAACAGGAGACTCACAATTTTCGTTTCACATTTAGATAATTACCTTCCTTGTTTCTCTCACCAGAAAGACACAAGATCCAAAGGAAAGCTGTAAAGATTAGGACGTAATTAAAAACAAGACACGAGCTGAAGTGCGGAGGTTAGGCGATGATAGAATAAGCTAATAAGCTTTTTAACGGGATACCCGTTTTCCATTCTAGCAGGATAAGATAGCAAAATTCTTATTTCCCCACCATTTGATAATTCATAAATTCTTCATAATATCATAGCTCCTATGTTGCATGTTTACCTCTCTGGAGCTTGCAATGTAAAACACTTAAACATTTGAATATGTTGTAGAAAAGAAAAAATAGTCTGCCCGCCCTTTTTGCTGAAGGTCGGTTTTGTGAGGGTTCACTCAGGAGCAGCGCCCAGATGAAGGATTCCCTGGGTGTGGCTTTTAATCCACCTCTGGCAGTTAGTAGGTGCTCAGTAAACACCAGGCTGTGGGATCTATTGGATATGGTCCTCAGCAATACTTTATCTGCAGGAAAACCAGGAATCCCATAAGTTGGCATATGGTCTGGTAAAGGGGAGCCTACATTTCTCTAGCTGAAATTGTTAGGGTGTTCCCACCTCAGAAGGCTCACGGACATACAATTTATAAGGCATAAGGCACATTTCAGTTAAAGTGTATTGTGAATGTTCTGCTTGCTTCTAGAAAGAAAAAAAAAAATACTATCAGAGAATCCAAAGAGAAAATGTTCTCTGCCCGGTTGGTTGGAAAAGGAAAGAAAGCTAACAATGCCGAGTATAACTTCTTCCCGACTTCAGCTCTCCCGTACCTCCAGGAGAGACTTTCCTTGCGTGAAATCACAAAGTTGTTCCTGCAGAGGGAAGCTTATTGAAGCTCTCGCTTAACGTTCTCTTCAGTTATACAGGGGAAAACCTACTAGAATATGAGCTTAACTCTCCGGGAAAATGAGATTTGACGGAGTTTGGTCATGGATGTTTCTCTAAATAAAAAGTACTCATGTATACATTAACATTTCCAAATAATTGCTATGCCCCGTGGCTGTTAGGATCCAATTATTTTTATGTGAGTATGAGCTCCTAACTGAACTTGGTCCAATGGGGAGAGGCTTGTAAAATATTAGGTGTGAGTAGGAGCCATGTCCTACATTCCAAGCACAAAATCGATGCTCTCCAAGCTAATGCTGATCTACAGCCAGAGTTTCAAACCAGAAAAGATCATGTGAGGCCACTGCTTGTCTACTTAATTCCTAAGGACATTCTTGCCGTCCACCTGTGATACAGACATTAAACGCTCTGCACATGTGGGGAAACTCGAGGGCTTCCTTGTTTTAAGTATGCTGCCATTTGCTTGAACAGATAAGTTATTATTCTATAATAAATTCAATTATTTTCCCCTCCGGCAGGCCCTCGACACGTCAGCTCTTTGTTCAGTGCCAAGGCCGTTGTTGTCAGATTTCAGATTCTCCTGGGGAATGAGCAGCTCAGGGGGAGATCGTGCTGACACTGATTCTGTAAAACATCTCCGGACTCCTAATAGCACATTTCCTCCTGGACCTGCTTCTCAGAGGCAGTGTCTGCTCTGGGCCTGAGCCAGAGAGGCCCCCAGGCTGGGGTTGCCCCATTTAGCAAATAAAAGCAAGGCCACTCAATTACATTTGAATGTCAGAAAAACAAGGGAGAATCATTTCAGTGTAAGTATGTCCCATGCAATCCTGGAGACACATACTTCTGTAAACACCTGTTCCACCTGGGCATCTGTATTGTTGTGCAAAGTTTGTGAGACAGGATCTACCCACAGGGATGGGAAGAGAGGTAGTTATCCTGTCCTCTACCGACTAACGAAATAGGTTGGCTTAACAGCCCAGGTCTGTTTTGCCCGCGTTACCTCCTGAATGCCTTTCAGGGCTTTCTATTCATCCCCAGATGAAATGCAGGCTGCGTGGCATCGGTCACGGCTGCCCCTTCTGCCCTCTGGGCCCCAACCTCTGAGGCTTCATCCCCTGACCCGTCGGAGGCCATTCTCACTGTGTCCTCTGCCCTGAACCCCCTGCTTCTAGCGGCTGGCCTTCGCTCAAGCTGCTCCGTTTGTGTGGAACAGCCTTCACCCCTCTGTGGCCACAGGCCCAAGCCGCCTCATCCTTTGCAACCCCGCTTGTTTATCAGCCGCTCTGTGCTGCTTCTCCCC